TGGATGAAGTAGCTTTATTGAATCTGTGCATTATCTACTAGTCTAACAGATTCAGTTAGCTTCTTGTTGTTTAGGTTCTTTTGTCCATCAGTTCAAATGCATATGTGCAGCCCTTAGATGAACCAATTAGGCTTCAATGGATTATTTATAACTTGTTTTTCTGTCAATTAGAGCCCTTTCTTTACGTATACTTGAAATGCTCTGATACCATGTTATTTTCTGTTGTATTACTTGGGGGCTTAATGGAAAATGTATAGCTTTATTTGAATATTGAACTCTCTCTATAATGATGATTTTTAGTTTAAAATTAGCGACTGGGATTTATAGTGTTTTGTGCAAAAATGTTTATTTAGATACAAGTATTTGGATAAGTGTGCCGTAAAATTATACACTTGAAGTAAAACTGTAAACATTAATGTATGAAATTAGTTATTAAGACCACTGAAATTGACATGCAAGCACACACTTTCTGGAAACATAAATGGGCTGATTTTGTTTCAGTTTCATTTGCAGGATGAAATGGAAGATGAAGTTTTTGGGCAACAAGTGAAGTCGAAAGTCAGGACCATTTTTCTTTCGACCAATTTGATCCTTATGTAAGTACATGCAAATACAGAGGAGTAGAAAAACTGGAATTATGTTAGATCCCTAGATTGATAGTGAACTGTTTAATGGTATTAAGAAGAACTGAAATTAATACTTATACATCATATAATCAATCTTTTTTTGTTGACAGGTAATTTATTTATTTTTGTCTATCTACTAATATGGTCAAAATTTTTGTTTGTTCTCTGGTTTAACTTTAATATATGACATGAAATATTACTTTATTTTAGTTTATTGTATAATATAATTATGACGTCACAGATGACCCATCAAATCCGAACCGGTCAACAACTGTTTCAATTTTCAATGTCGATGAAAAACAGGATTTTAATGTCCTCCACGTGTCAGACGAGTTGCCTCCTGTTTGGTATTTGAACGGTTGAACCAATCCCAAATTCCCGTGCGCTCAACCTCAGGGACACTACAGTGCTCCTGTCTCCTAACCACCTTTGATCCAAATTCCACATCATGTACGCAAATTTCAACGCTCTAAATTACTATCTAATTTTTAGATTATTATCTCATTTTATTTAATGTGCGTTGATCTAATATATTTAAAATTGGTTCTCTAATATGATGAAAACCTCAAAATTATATTATTTATGCTTTATATTATACTGAATTAATGATTAAACGATTTTTCTCACTCAAATAATGATGTAATGATATTTTTTCACCCACAAACTTTTAATTATCTAAATTTATATTCTGATTTCAGCATCGTTGCAACCTCACATTACCATCATTATCTTCTTCAATCATCACTCACCATAATCTCTCAAACCCTATTCTCATCGATCCTACTAATCACCAGTAATCGAGCGATTAGGATTTGCACAGCTACCCCTCCCAAGTCAAATTTCGATTAATCTCAACCACCAAAATAGAACATTCTACTACTAAAAGACTCATTGGTCTCCCTTCCTTTTAAAGCCTCAATAGCTTGGATCGAATTTGCTTTATGTTCACCTCTGGAATATAAATTTGAAAAGTCAAGTAGAATTTTAAAAGTCGATAGGTGGAAAAGTGTCATTAAATCATTATTTGGGAGGGAAAGAGTCATTAACTCTAAATTAATATAATGAAATCCATATAAACAATATCATATAATAGAAAATGACACATACCAAGTTTCTAATTCAGAAAAGCTCAACACATTTATAAAATCTAATTTAATGTTGATACATTATAATCTTCTATATAATATATGATTTTTCAATAAAATTTTGTCGAAAATTAATTTTTATTTCTTAAATAAAGTGAAGAAACTATCAAAGTAAAAGAATTAATAATAATATTTATAAATAGATACACTTATATTAACAATAATACTATACTTACAAAGATTTTTATACAAAATGAGGTGTATCTATTTATAAATATGATTGTTAATTCTTTTACTTTGATAGTTTCTTCACTTTATATTAACAATAATACTATACTTACAAAGAAATCTTACAAAGATTTATATATAAAGTGGGTAGCAAAAAATGAATCGAAAAGTGAAATAAAAAGTCAAACTCATTAAATTCACCATTCTATTCATTTTTTGTCACATCACTTTGTATTAAGATATTTGTAAAATTTCTTTGTAAGTGTAGTTAGTAATCATCTAATATAGATATATATATATTATATATATATCTATATATATATATATATATATATATATATATATATAAACAAGTGTAGTTAAGAGCATCACTTTTCCAATTTATTATAAAAATAATTAAGGCATTACAGTCAACTCATCAAGCTCTGAAACCCGGTTCTCTAGTGCTCTCCCCTCAATCGGTCAACCACTGACTCAGTTTCAATTCCGCGAATAGGGCTAGTTAACTAACCGAGCCACTCACGAGCCGGCTTGGCTCGGCTCGAGTTCGACTCATTAACGACTCGGTTCATCTGATAACGAGCCGACTCGACTCGGCTCGTGAGACAAAACTAGCCGAGTTTGAGTCATACAAGGCTCGGCTCGTCATAATAATGCAAACAAGTTTTGAAAAATAACAAACTAGCCCCCATTATTAAAATCCCCAAATCGCGAAAAATCCGTCACAGTTGAACCCTTGCCGTAAAATTTGAATCAAACTCCTCCCAAAGTGTTGATTTTCGGCCAGATCTTGTTCATCTTCGTTAGCTTCGCCGGATCGTCGGTTCGTCATCGTCAGATCTGAAGTGGATTTCGTCGGTTCGTCATCATCTTTGTCGGATATCGTCGGTTCGTCATCTCGTCATCGTCAGATCTGAAGTGGATATCGTCGGTTCATCATCTGCTATGGTCGATTGGGATTTAATTGTTTGTTTGGGGTTTGGGGTTTAAGATGATTTTCGTCAAATTTTTACTTGTTTTTCGTGAATTGTTCGTCGGTAACAAATGGCTTTTTCCGGTGAAAGAATTGAGGAAGAGCAGTCTGTGAAGAGTAGTGTCATGGTGGTGTTGCTGTGAAACTCATACAAAGTTAATACTTGTGTACTATATGTGAAGAGTAGTGCCGCGTATGGGTCTGTTTGACTATTTATTGAAATTGCTTTACTGACATTCAAATTGTTTGTGAATTGTGATTGTGGTTGTGTTAGGACAAAATTTCAATTGCAGTTTGTTAATGGTTGACTGGTTGTTATTTAATTATTGTGGTTTGTGGGAATGTGGTTATGGCGTTTTGCATTTGGTGGTGGGGGCTGGCCGACATGTAGTTTTTAAATTTGTTTGTGGCTTGTTGTGGGAATGTGGTCCTGCACTTGGTGGTGGGGACTGGGAGATTTAAAAATTTGTTTCTGACTTGTGGGAATGTGTTGGTGTGGGGTAAAGAAAGAAGAGCCAGTACCATAAATATAAGTAGATGACATTTGTATTTGTATGTATTCATTCTTGCTAGAGAAAGTAAAATTTAATTGGGGCAAGTGATGTAAACGGTAATATAAATGCCATCTAAGTTCCCCTGTACATTAAAGGTCCCATGTTTACATTGATGCTCAAATCTCACTCAAATTGATTGCAAAAGTAAGACAGTTGATTTAGTAACCCTTTAGTGTTTGAACAATGGTGTCAAATGGTCATTTTCCTGTCATATTGTGTTGAACTACAAATCCCAAGAATGCCAACATTGCCAATCTCCCTGCATATTCAAACATCATATATTATTAGCACACATAAAATATTTCTCTGCAAAACAGTGTTGTGCATGGCATGGCAGCACATAGATTTATGTACCCTTCCAATTTATTTACATAAATTAAGTTCAATTTCAATTTCAATTTATGTACCCTTCCAATTTATTTACATAAATTAAGTTCAATTTCAATTTATGTACCCTTCTAATTTATTTACATAAATTAAGTTTATATATGCAACTTTAATGAATTCAAAATAGAACATGTTAAATTCTAAATATTATAACATGTGAAACTTAATCAAACATGATACAAAACCAATGTCTCTAATTAAAGAATAAATAAAAGTTGAGATGAATTGGTGACAATTAATATTGGTGTGCAATGTATAATGTATTGGTTTGATGTGTGTGCAATGTAATAGTTTGACATTATTTCATATTGGTTTTGCATTAAATTGCTCAATCAAATTCAATTTATGTACCCTTCCAATTTATTTACATAAATGAAGTTTATATATGCAACTTTAATGAATTCAAAATAGGACATGTTAAATTCTAAATATTATAACATGTGAAACTTAATCAAACATGATACAAAATCAATGTCTCTAATAAAAGAATAAATAAATGTTGGGATGTATTGGTGACAATTAATATTGGTGTGCAATGTATAATGTGTTGGTTTGATGTGTGTGCAATGTAATAGTTTGACATTATTTCATATTGGTTTTACATTAAATTGTTGAATTTTTTTTTTTTTTTTCATTTATAGGTTTGTAAATGGAGGGTAATTCCTTAAGTACCCCTGCAATACAAGATACAATTACCGATACACCAGGCGACAACCTTAACTTGAATGCAACCATTACTAATACGGAGCAAAGTATTAGTAGCCCAGATAATGGTGATGAAAATCAAAATCCGATTTAGAAGCAAAAAAGAGCGAAGACTTCAGTGGCATGGTCGGAGTTTAAGGAGGTGGTACTCCCTAATGGCACCAAAAAGGCTGAGTGTATCCATTGCAAAGTCAAGTTGTGTATTAATGACACCGGAAGCACCACCCAATTCAATAGACACTTAAGCCGGTGTTTAAGGAGAAAAGCTTCCATGAGGCAACAACATATTAGTTTTCCGAGTGCTAGTAATAATGTTCCAACTACTATTTTGCCAGCTTTAAGTGGGAAGTTTGACATGTCGAAAATGAGGGAATTGATCGCCCATTGGGTACTTATGCATGAGCATCCATTTACAGTTGTGGAGGAAGAGGGCTTGAACAATATGATGAAGTATAGGATTCCTGGATGGACTCCGGTTTCCCGCCACACTTGTAAAAAAGATTGTATGAAGGTATATGAAAGTGAGAAGGCCAAATTGAAGACTTTGTTGAAGACTGTGACAAAAATCAGTTTGACTACAGACTTATGGAATTCAGGGAATCAAAAGATGGAGTATATGGTGTTGACCGGGCATTGGATAGATAGTAGTTGGAGGCTGAATAGACGTATCCTCAACTTTGTTCATCTACCTCCTCCCCGGACTGGTATTGCGATTGCGGATGACATTTTCAAGTGCCTAATGGGATGGGGAATTGAAAATAAGGTATATAATATTTCTGTGGATAATGCTTTAAGTAATGATGTTGCGATTAAAGTTTTGAAGGAAAATTTTAAAGTTTCGGGGAAACTCCTTTGTGGAGGGAAACTGTTTCATGTGAGATGTTGCGCACACATCTTGAACCCGATTGTTCAAGATGGACTTCATCAAATTAGGCACATCATTGACGACATCTATGAGAGTGTGTTGTATATCAACAGTTCCGAAAGCAAATTCAAGGTATTTTCTGAGATTATTCAACAACTTAAATTGCCGTATCGGAAACTTATTCTTCATTGTAAAACAAGGTGGAATTCTACCTATAAAATGTTGGCAACGACAATTAAGTTCAAAAAGGTTTTTCCAAGAGTGAAAGAGAGGGATATCAATTATCATAATAATCCAAGTGACGAGGATTGGGAGAAAGAGGAGAAAGTTTGTAAAGTTTTGAAAGTATTCAGTGGTTCAACCAAACTCATTTCAGGAAGTGATTATCCGACGTCTAATTTATTCTTGAAGGAGGTGTGTGCAGTGAAATGTATGTTGAATAGTAAAAGTGAATCTGAAGATGAATTTATTAGAGTAATGGTTAGGAAAATGAAACAGAAGTTTGATAAATATTGGGGGGAATGTAATGTATTGATGTTTGTGGCTGCTATATTGGATCCTCGGTTGAAAATGAGGGTTATTCAGTGGGCATTCCCTAAGATGTATTCTGAGGCAGAAGGACGGGCAAATATGGTGACGGTTCGGGATGCATTGTATGAGTTATATGGGGAGTATGTTCAAGCTAACCAAGGTGTGACTATTGCCCTTGCTTCTACATCACAAGGGGATGGACATGGAGCCATTGGTGAGGTGGCTGCGGTTGAGGGAGCCGAGGCCTGGGATGATTTTAGCACTTTTCTGTACGTGGTTGAAACTGTTGAGCCTAGTCAGTCTGAGTTGGACTGTTATTTGGGAGAGGGATGCCATAAGTGTGTAGGGGATCATGATTCATTCGATGCCTTACAGTGGTGGAAGACAAATTCAACCAAGTTTCCTGTATTGTCTACGATGGCTCGAGAGATACTAGCCATCCCGATCACTACAGTTGCTTCAGAGTCTGCATTCAGTGATGGGAGCAGGGTTATTGATAGTTACCAAGCTTCTTTGTCACCAACTACGATGGAGATGTTGTTATGTGGATGTGACTGGTGTCGCACTTTGAATGGAGTGAAGAAAGGGTGCAAAGTAAGTTCCATTGCTTACATGTTTTGTTTAATTCTATATTTAAGATAACTTTATTCTAACCTATAGATTATTTTTATCTCTTTTTCATCTTAGAAAGAGAAGGATGAGGATCACTTGGAGATTCAGCTTCCTATTCTATCAGGTGATGGGAGTCAGCTGATTGGTTGATTCACTTGTGAGTTATTGGCTGTGACAGTAGGATTCTGCAGGTCTATATTTATTACTTTTGTGTTGAGGTTTGCATTTTCATCTTTACGGTTTATATAAAATGACAATTATACTTAATATGTTTCACATTAATTTGTTTGTAGGAGGAGTGGGGCTACAATAGACATACAACAAATTATATTTTGCTATTATATATATTTTTTGATGGATGGGGATGTCACTTGATGTATAGTTATGCTAATCCCCCATTTTGTTTTTGTGAAAACTTTATTAAGTCAAGTGAACTAAACAAAAAATATTTAGTTCACTTAACTTAATTTGTGGTACATACAATATATTAAATGATAATTTGTTAATAGCAATAGCATTTCATTTAATGTTGATTTTAAGTAGGTTTAACTGTTGGGTGATGTATTATGGAAAATTACTTTTTCAATATTTTTCCAAGGAATTATCTATCCATCCACTCTTTTTGAATTTATGAGCAAACTTTGACTCAAATATTTATTCTTAGCTTACTGCATGAAGCAATATAGAATTAATTCATTAATTCATGTAACAAATAATTAATAAAAATTGCTGTTAATAGTTTCACATTACATATAAATTAATTAAACATATACTTTAGAAAAAAATGAGAATCTATTCTGGGAAATAAAATCCATATGGAATTGAATAAAAAAAAACATTTCATAGTCAGACTGCTGCCCAGGCGCCCAGCGAAATTTTGTAAAAAAAATTGAAAAAAAATAAAATAAAATTATTTGGAGATGGCTCGTGAGCCGGCTCGAAATATACCAAATCCACTATCGAGCCGAGCCGAGCCACATAATTTCTGACTCGGCTCGTTTACTTATCCTCTCTCACGAGCCAAGCTCGTTAAGCCGAAAACTAGGCTCAGCTCGACTCGATAACACCCTTGTTGGCGAACAGACAGAATCGTAGGTGTCGTACACGTGTCTCTCACTCTCCACACCTTTTAAACAAAATTTACCCATTTGTTTAACACTACAAACTCACTCTCCACATTATTTTCATTTTTCACCCACCCGCTAAGCTCTCTCACTCCTCTCACTTCACTCCTTCATTTTCACTCAGCCAACGAGTTTGGCCTCCGACGATTTTCACACTTTCTATTCCACGCAATCTCCATCTCTCAATCTTGTTTCGGTACTTAGTTTTATTGATTTTTTGGTCGGTGTGATAATGTATGAAAATCCATCACAATTTTTAATATCGTAGTTTCATTTGCAATTTATTTGGATTATGTATGGATATCTTACATTTTTTATTGTTAATAACAGCGTTTGATTGAATTTTTTCTGGAAGAATTAGGGTTTTACAATAATGTGTGTTCATTCTAGGTTAATGTACTACCTTATTTGAATTTTCACATCCTTTTTGCTTATCTACATGATTTCGTAGCACTACTTTAGTATTTTATTTAAGTTCGTGATAAACACCATTTCAATTAATAGGGATAATTAGGCTTATGGTTTTCTAAAACAAACTAGGTTATTCCAGAAATGTGTGTTTGTTTGGTATGTGGGTGATGTGTTTGCCGGGCTAAAGATGAATGAATGGAGTGAAATAAATCATTTTTTCATGTATAATTTTTGTTTTACAAAGTGGGCTCAGTAACAGAGAGTTGAAACCTTTGTTAAAATATTTTTCTTAAAAGAAAGCCTGTGATGCAGCATCTGTAATTACCCATTGACACATAGAATCATTGCCCGTAACCTATGTAAAGGAAGAATACGGTAGGCCCGTGATTATTTTCCACTTCCAAAACAAAGTAAAGGACTCTCACTCTCACTCTTTCGCACATATTTCATTTCATGTAATTCTCAACTGATTATATTAGAATTTTTGAAAATTCTAGTTTAATTTTATTGTTAATTTGATTAGGGTAGTTTCAGTGTAGCTGAATTTTGTAATGCATTTACACTTAGTAGCGAAATGGTCTTCATTTGGTGAGTGAGTTAGGGTTTCGTTAATTTTGTGAAATTATGTGTGTTTGGATATGGACTTGTTGTGTTTTTTGAGCAAGATGGAGAGGACATGATTGTTTGATTTTTGACTAGTTGCTTTTTAGGAATTGGAGGTAGGCTTTTTTTTATAAAAAATTTGTCTGATGTAGTTGATAAGTTTAGTGTGTGTTTGAGAATAACTAATTGTTGAATTTTAGGGAGTGATTTTGAAGAAACTTTTTTCAAGAACTGCTTATTTCAAAAAGGAGTTTTACTGAATGCATCTGGTCTTTTTAGCCCAACGCAGCAGTTATTTCAAAAACTGATTTTCTTCTGCCAGTTTGCGTTTTAGTAATGTTCCCTGCACCATTCTTTAAATTATCTCTTAATTAACTACTTGTAATTCTTGTATATAACCCAGATGGACTACAGTTCTGAAGAAGTGTCAGATATTAGTGATTCTGAGATCAATGAGTACATAGAGAAACCGTATGAAGAGCTGAGGGCTGGGAAGTACAAAGTACGGGTTAGCGGCACCTTAAGATGCCCCTTTTGCGCTGGGAAGAAGAAACAAGTTTACAAGTACAAGGACTTGCTTCAACATGCATCGGGAGTGGGTAAAGGATCTGCTAACAGAAATGCGAAACAAAAGGCAAACCACCTTGCCCTGGCAAAGTATTTGGAGATTGACCTAGCTGATGAAACAGAACAAACACAAGCTTCAGTTGTATCAAAACCTGTCAATAGAACTCCAGAGCAAGAAGATACCTATGTGTGGCCATGGATGGGAATTATTGTTAACATTGTAAGTGATCAAAAAGATGGAGGAGATGTGAATGATTGTGGATATTGGTTGAAGAAATTTGCTAGATATAAACCTTAAGAGGTTTATACTTTCTGGAATGAACAAAATCTCACTAAAGAGGCCATAGTGAAATTTAACAGTGATTGGAATGGTTTCATGAATGCAGCTGAATTTGAGAAGGTGTTTGAAAGTGATCATCATAGTAAGAAAGATTGGAATGAACGGAAAACAAGCCCTGGCTCAAGTATATATGGCTGGTGTGCACGTGCTGATGATAGTGAGTTTGAAGGGCCAATCGGGGAGTATATTCGCAAGGAAGGGAAGTTAAGAACATTCTCTGACATTGTGCGGGAAAAAAATCAAGACAAAACGAATGTTGTTGCAGACCTTGCCAGTAAGATAGATATGACGAATGAAAATCTCAATGAACTGGAATACAAGTACAATGAGAAGACCATGTCTTTGAGCAGGATGCTTGATGAGAAAGACAAACTACACTATGCTTTTGTTGAAGGTTTGCTCTTGTCTCTTTATGTAGGCCTCTAATGATGATTGAATCACCAAATGGTGTTTCGTCTTAATGTATAGTTCAACATCATTATACTTAATGTTTGATTTATGAAGTTAATAGCGTTAAAATGTTCTTTTTGTCCAATAGAGACAAGAAAGATGCAGCGGCTTGCTCGTGATAATGTTCGCAGGATCTTGGAAGAACAAGAGAAACTCAGTTGAGATTTGGAGGCTTGGAAGAAGAAAATTGATGACAGGAGCAAAAAATTGAAAAAGCTTGAAGCGTCAACAGAGCGTGAGAGGCAAAAACTTGAAGAAGAGAGAAAAAAGGTAGCCTTTTTGGCCCAGTTGAAGTACTCTTGGCAAAACGCTGTAGCATTTTATTTTTGCATAATAATACATCATATGGAATACTGACATTTTTTCTTTTGGTCATTCTAGTATGATTCAAGAAATAACTCACTTCAGCTGGCTTCAATGGAGCAGAAAAAGGCTGATGAGAATGTCATCAGACTCGTTGAAGAGCAAAAGGTGTGCTGCTCAATGATATGCTTTGACTGATTTGCACCACATTTTGTTTCATACTTATTTGTTATTTTACACTTTTTGTAGCTTTTATCTATAAACATGTATGAATTTTTCAGAGGGAGAAAGAAGAGGCCTTAAACAAGATAATACAATTAGAAAAACAGTTGCATCAAAAACAGAAGCTGGAAATGGAAATTGAAGACTTGAAAGGCAAAATAGAGGTGATACAACATCTTGGAGATGCAGATGATGCAGCGGTACAGAAGAAGATGAAAGAGATGAAAGATGAGTTGGCAGAGAAAGAGGAGAATTTGGGTTCTTTGGAGGAATTAAGTCAAACTCTTATCACCAAAGAGCGTCAGAGCAACGATGAACTACAAGAAGCACGTAAAGAGTTAATTCAGGTATCCCTAATTACATTACTTAAATGATATCTTGTTGATCAAATGGCTTGAGCCTAATCAAGGGGAATCTTCATATTTAATTCATTAAATATGTGGGTTCGTGGCAAGCATGGTGGCCAAAGAAAAGCAGTCAAGATGTCCCATAGAGGCAAATCTGAAGTCCAAAATGTTAATGATTAGGGCAATCATATTCTTGATGATAGTGGATAAGTGATAAAGTATATGGAAAATAAAAGAAAAAGGAGATGGTTTTTTGGGTGATCTTTTCAGGAAAGTAACTAATGAGAAGTCACTAGTATCTATTTTTACTAAATCTTTTGGCTTGGAAAGTTGCATGAAAGGCATTAATTGCATAGATGCACAGTGTTGATTAGATTTGTTAAATTACTTGTTTCCTAGAGAATCATAAGGATGAATTTATGCAAGATATTTCTGTTTTGATAGGGTTTTGTAGATATTTTGGGTGCTCGTACGATTATTGGAATAAAGAGAATGGGGGAGATTGATCCAAAGGCATTTCAAAAGGCATGCAAGCAGAAGTTTTCACTGGAGGAGGCACAGGTGCAGGCCTCCACTCTTTGCTCCTTGTGGCAGGAGAATTTGAAGAACCCAGAGTGGCACCCTTTCAAGATAATAGAAGGTGGTGGGAATGCCAAGCCCGAGGTAGCATGTTTGATCTCGTTCTTGCCTTATATTGCTGTAAACTTTGTTTTTATTGGTGGCATTTATATGCATGAAACATTGTTAGCCTGCAAATGTAATAAAAATTTCCTGAAATAATTT